GGTCAAAAGGTAAAACTTCCCATTTAAAATAAGTAAGTCGTGGGGCTATAATGTATGGCTTAGTGACTGTAGTTAATACTCTAGTGCATATTTGAACGTTGCTAAGAGAGTAAACTTAAAAATTCTCATCACAAGAAAAAAAATTGTAACTGTGGTTGTAGATGTTAACTAGACTCATTGTGCTGATCACTTCACAAAATATACAAATATTGAATCTTGTACACCTGAAACTAACACAGTGCACGTCAATTCTACCTCGATAATAAATTTAAAAAAGAAACGTTGAACTCTTCAGCAGCTGACCCCAATTTGAAACCCTTGCTACGTCTCTTGGCGGAGGTAGGACCGTTTTATTAAGTTGGCAGTGAGCTGTAGCCATCCACTTTCCCTTTGTTCATCTACTATCGATCTAAACTAATCACTTAATTAGCCCAGGCAAGGAGTTTTCGGTGGTGTTAAATAACTCTAAAAACCTACTGGAGACGCTTGAGTGGCCCTACTGGAATTAATATGCGGTTCATTACCTGTAGACTAAGATATGTTAAATGCAATGCCTAAGAAACAGGTAGATGCTGCATTGAGAACAAATCATTTTCACTTGTAGAAAAAAAAGAAGCCTCCCTCTAGGCCAGTGGTTTTCGAAGTGTGGGCCCAGGATCAGCATCACCTGGGAAGGTGTCGGGCCTCACTCCAGCCTGCTGAGTGGGAAATGCGGGAGGTGAGGCCCGCAGTCAGTTTTAACAAGCCCTCCCTAGCAGGTGGTACCGATGGAGAACCACGCTTTACACTGTCTCTCGAGGTACAGTTTTTTGTGAGCCTACCTCCTGGCAGAGAGGAAAAAAGAAGACAAAGGGGAGAGGCAGGAAAGAAAATCATAAAGGTGGTGAGGAGATCTGAGCACCCTGGATGGGAAGTCTGTCCACCAAAGTGGCTGTGGGCCAGCAGTGTAGGGGTCTTTGGAATCTGGGGGTCTTATTTCAGATCCTTCCTTAAGAGCAGCACGGGACAGGGGGACTTCACTCTGGCCAGGTCATGAGACAGACTGCTCAGGGAGCCACCCAGGTGCTGCTGTACTATTGAAAAGGGAGAGGACAGTAGGCGAGACAAAGAGCCACCATTGCTCTCTGAGAGCCCCCCCCCCCCCCCCCCCAGGATGTACATGCAGTAGCTACTTAGTACATGCTGATCAAATTGACAGAAATTGAACCTCAGAGGCCTAGGCTGAGTTTCCTCAGCTAGTTTTGATCTGGGGGAAGTAGGCATGTTTACTGGGCCTGGTCTATACAGAAAACCGGGAATTGACCCACAGAGCATCTACTGTTCTCTCCCGCCCTGCCTTCCGGGAAACAGCGTGGCTCAGGGAAGGAGACCCGGCTCTAGTGCACGGACATGGTTATCACTAGTGTGTGCCTTCAGCAAGTCACAGACCTGCTCAACTCCCGTTTGCTCATCTACAGAAGGAGAACAGGAGTTACTGTCGAATGTTTTTGCTCAGCATTGTAGCACCGACACCTAGTACACACACTATTCGGTATACAACAGGTTTTGAATAAATATTTATTAAATAAATATAAGAAAAAGAAAGAGAGAAAGAAAAGACAGACTGGTTGATTTTGTGAGGCTTATATGAAAAAAGAATAATGATAATAATAATAATAATAGATTCAGAAAAAGCCCTCGAGGTGCCTAGAAGTAGGGCCTATATTCTTGCTGAAGCTAGCCCTGTTCTTCCCATTCTTCTGCAATGCAGTTACCCCATTTTCCAGCTGCACCTCGGGCACCCTCACTTCTGGCTGCTGAGCCATAGCCTTGGATGCACAGTAGGAGATCAAGATGTTTTCAGAACTGGAATGAACTGCCCGTGTGTGAGCATGCTTGAGAGTTGGTGGTGGTTCCAAGTAGGATTGATCCACTTTTCTTCAATCCCTATAATTAAGTAATTACATGTTAATTATTTTATGTTCTTTTATTTCTAAGATATATACTCATTAACCTTTTGGTGAGCACATTTGCCTCACAGTGATAGTAAGCCTTTTTAGTAACAAGCTTGCCATATGTTATTAAGTTCTGGGAATGCCATTAGTTGTCTTCATTTACATGATTAGAGGGATGCTTTCACCTTGAGAATGTGTGGATATTCCCTGCCTTTTCTTCACTATCCCTTCCTCTCTTCCTTTGAACATCAGTACGAAAGAGCAGCCCGCCAACTCAACAGACAATTCAAGAGAAAACTCAGAAAGGGATTTATTAAATTTGCTGAGTCTTTGGTTACAATTCTTCTCCAAAGAGCATAGGTTTTGGGAATCAGACCTGAGTTGATCCCAAACACACTTTTCTCAACTTTGGGATCTTGAGCAAGTCACCTAACCTTTCTGAGCCTAACTTTCCACATGTATCATCTAGGGATCTTATGTGGACTAAATAAAATAACATTTGCAAATATACCTACAATAAACATACAACAAAAGTTCATGTCCTTCTTTCACCAGCATTTGGGTAGGTATACTCAGAAGATACAAGCCACTGGACGGAGGAGGTCCATGCCCATCTGGGGTCTCCAGCTGGGAGACAGAGGCGGCAGATGGGAGAGTTTTCAGCTCACTGAGACACAGCGCTGTTTTATCATCTGACAGGCTGGGGCTGCTCATTCTGTTCTGTAAGCGGGGGTTAGCGTAGTGATGACAATCATGGGGAAAGGTTCTTTCAATCCCCTTGCCAAAAATAGAGGATCATTTCCTTCCGCCATTTGGGTTTTGATTGCGGGTGGAACAGTAAAGGTAAGGAATGGGCCTAGAGTTTGAAAAGTGAGCACACAGACAAACAGAAGACGTCTTTCTTCTAATGTTGTCAATTGAGAAAGGGACCCGCACAACAGAAATGGACCCCTATACATCCTTCCAAGTTGTCTATTGTTTACTGTAAAATTACCAGCTCTCAAAACAGAAGCGACCTAGTGGGTACCTATGCCTGAGAAGAAGTCGGAGAGAAAGGTTATTGCTGGGGACATTGTTCTGACAGAAGCATTGCTGTCCCTTCTCTCTTGTGTTTTCTCAGTGCAGGCCAGACCCATGTTAGTGAACGGAGTAAGAGCGGTGTTTTCCCTGTGTCCCTATGCGGTGGCTTTGTTAGTTCTTCACAGTCCTTGTCGGGCCATCGTGCTCTCCAGCTAAGCACGGGCTCATGGAGCTGGCCTGGAAGTAGACTCAGGACAGAGTGACAGGAAGAGCCGGAAGTGAGGAGATGGGGGGTGGACAGGCCGAAATGAGGCTCCTGCGGGGTTTCCAGTGCACAGACTCAGTGGAAACCAAGCAGGTGGGCTTGCAGGGGGCTCAGCTCACTGCTCCTCGGGGACTGTGTTCACGTCTTTGGTTGGAAGCCAGTGAATGGCACGTGGGGTCAGCCTTCGAGGCCGGGGCCGGCATTCTGGTGGCGTTTGCTGTTAGCGCGGAGATGGGATCAATGTCTGACCTGGTCCGCACATCAGCAGCCCTCAGGCTGGGTGAAATGACCAGTACCTGCCATCTTCGCTCGCTGGCATTTACCTTCGAGCACATCCTGTTCACACGGCAGGAGTTCGCCTCCAGCTAAGAAAGAAGCTTCCCAGCCTCAAGAAGTCACCTCCAGTCATTGTCAATAAACAGGGTGTCGACAAAGACATCCAAGAAGATTTGAAATGGGATGTAAATCAGTCATAGTCTATTGATATACACTGGACCAGAAACAGTCAGAGGCCGAATGTCCCAAGTTGTGGGCTGAATAGCACCCCCCCCCCCAACAAAGATGTTATCTTATTTTGGAAAAGGGGCTTTGCAGATGTAATTATGTTAAGGATATCAAGATATTGAAGAAAGCATTCTGGATTATCCGAGTGGGCCCTTAATCCAAGGACAAGTGTCCTTATAAGGACGCACAGGAGTGGAGGGATGTGAAGACAGAGGCAGGAACAGGAGGCAGCAGCCACCAGCGGCGGCAGGGTGCTCCCGAGCCTGGGAGGGAGCCCGGCCTTGCCGGGCTGGGAGGTCTGGACTCAGTACTGCGACAGGGCACATTCTGTTGTGAAAAAGCCACCCGGTGTGTGGTTGGTGGTTACAGAAGTCACAGGAAACACGTTGGCGAGGGTGTGGGGTTCAGGGAGTGGCCCATAAGCCAAAGGGATTCTCAAGGAGGCTTTTTGTGAAAGGAACAGTTTTGTTTTTGGTTCTCTGTAGCAATGCTATTGCTGTCTTTTATTTTCCTTTATAAACTCGAGTCCCTCCTTTGAGTGACATGTCAGGGGAAGAAAGGGTCTACTTCTCTCATCCGCCCTTAAGGAATGGAGTGCATGGGCCAGGGGGGGCTTCCTGAGCACATCGAGAGCATTCCACGCCCTCGCTTCCATTCCGACCGTGCAGACGGCCTGTCCGAGGTGTCTGGTCGCTGCGCTACTCGCTTATTCGATTCCAGAAGTGAATTCTGACATCTTCGGCGCCTTCCTCTCTGCCTCTCTGCAGGGGGGACTATGACCGAGGACGGGCTGTGCATTTCCTGTTCTGCTGTCTTAGCCACCAAGGTGGAAACTCTCTAAATCTGATCTCGGCCTTAACGCACCTTTGGTCTACGTGTCTACAGGAAGCACAGTAGTTCTAAGAAATGGAATTCCTCGGTTGTACATTTCAGAGGCCCCGAAATACCAATTTAAAACAAATACGTTTTTATCGATATTTTAGAGAGGGAGGGAGGGAGGGAGAGACAGAAACATCGATGTGAGAAACATCCATCAGCTGCCTCCTGCACACCCCCTACTGGGGACAGAGCCCGAAACCCGGGCATGTGCCCTGACCGGGAATCGAACCGGGACCTCTCAGTCCATGGGACGATGTTCAATACACTGAGCCACAACGACAGGGCCAAAATACCAATTTATAAGTTAGCCAACACACGAGATAACTATTGAAACTGCCATTTTATTTCCATCCAGGCCCAGGGACAGATCAGAAAGGGCTCTGCTCACAGACCGGGAGGCTGGTACAGGCTGCCGAAGCTGTGGTTCTGAACTTAGCCTGTCAGCCGTCGCGACGGAAGCAGGGCCCTGGTGGCTCACAGTGTCCTGAAATGCCACGCAAAGGCCGAGGACTGCAGGGTGGGATCGTGGTTGCCTGGCTGCTTCCCCAGTGTCGCAGAATTCTGGAGAACGGGGCCCATTTCCGTATGTGTGGGGATCTGTCCGAGTTACTTTTCATGCCTGAAACAGAAAAACAGACATTTAGGTTAGAACCAACATGGCAATAAATAAAATGTCAGTTTGCTCACTGCTAATCTGTTAGACTGCTGTTGACATTGTGCAAGAAGCCTTATCATTGCGGGAAGGTTCTGTGGAACAGGTGGTTCCGCCCTGCTGGTGCCTGTTCCCGCCATGCCCTCGCCACAGCTGGTGCCCACAGTCCAGGCCCAGAAGTCAGCGACACCGTCTCCTTCGAGTCTATTTTATGGACACCAGGCTTACAAACAATCGAAGCCATTGTAGACCTTGATCCCTTAGGTAAGAATAGGTTCTCAAACACAGGCATTATCAGAATTACCTGGTGAGCTTGTTAAAACCCACTTCTCGACTCTTTGCCCCACATTTTGACTCAACGTGTCAGGAGAGAGGTTCCTAACAAGCCCCTCACAGGAGCATGAGTCCTCAGCTCCTGAATTTGGGGAGTTATCGAACGGGTGTGCAGCAGGTTGAACCAGCTTTCCTTGGAGGCCGAGAAAGCTTAAGGGGCGGGGCCTGCCCTAAAACAAATCATTTCTTCTCATAAAATAGAAGAAGTCGGGAGGGAGTCAACCGTACTTGGAAAGAAAAGTCCCAGAGCCCAGAAATCCATCTCACAGCTCCGACACCCTCCCCGCACCCGAGGGAGAGCCTGGAGCCCAGCTTCTAGGCCTCACTGAGAAGTGTCAGAAACGCGGGTGAGCTCAGGAGCAGGGCCAGCTGCTCCCGGCCTGGAGGGCATCGGAAAGGGCAGCGGGCACAGCACAGAGAAAATTCAACAGGTGGGGAAGCGCTGAGGAGTTCACGGGCCAGGTTTCGGACAGTTGGGGAAGACTGAAGGGGGGGCACCGGGAGAAGCCTGGGTCACGGCACGGTGGGCGGAGGAGGAGATTCCGAGGACTGCTGTCGGGAAGCACGTGGACTTCTCTTCAGTGTCTGCAAGGGATTTCAGGGAGCATGTAAACTGCTTTTCACTTACTGTTTGCTTTTTTGTGGCTTTGAGTGCAACACGCCTGGGAGGCGGAGGTGCAAAGATCCAGCCGCCTGCCAGCTCCAGTGTGAGTTCAAGGTACCCCAACAGGGCCCACTCACCCCCCACCCCGTGACGGCACACATTTCGGCCCCTGCGTGCAGATTTCGCACTGAGTCTGGCACTACCTTTCTCTGGAGGCCCATAACAAAGCCAGTGAGCAAGGGCCGCAGGGCCTCCCTTTGGAACTACACCTGGGACCTTCTGCTTCAGCCTTCGCATCTGAGCTTAGCATCTGCTTCCAGCTAGATCCACTGGTGTCTGTAAGTGAGGGGTGGAGAGTGGGTTGTATCCACCAGTCAACTCGCACCCCCTGGAGAAGGGGGCCTGTCTCATTCCTTTATGACGTTGGGATCATCCCCTATTGTGCCTGACACCACCCATCTGGTCTGGACACACAGGTCACCTCCCCATCATTCATCACTGCCCTTGTCCTTGAACAAGTATTGACTTTGAATCAGAGGCACCTGTGCGGGCCTGAAAATGGATGTGCCCTTTCCTTCCCTCCGCCCCGCCTGTCTAGGGCAGATTTATGTCCTAGGAGAGGTTTCCTTCGGTGTTATTTTTGGTCTTTTGAACGTCGTGGCCCCGTGTCATTTCCCGCACCTGCCCGCCCTCCCCGACATCAGCCCCGTAATTTCTGAATCTCCTCGGATGGCCCGCCGCACCGGAGCAGGCTTTCTGTCAGCCCATCCCTCATACAGCTTTGACTCCAAACTGTTGACCTAGCTTCTTAAGGCTGTGTCTTCAGCAGTTTCTTTTCTCCAACCGGCCTGCAAGCCCGTGGGAAGCAGTTTGCTTTCCCTGCCGGAGTACAGCCAGGGACCATGTCGGGCTCTGGCAGACTTGGTCTGAAGTCCAGCCGGGTCCCACGTGGGCTGTGTCCCTCGGCAATGTGGAACCTACAGTCGGGGTGTGGAGAGAACCGGGTTAACACGGGGAAGCCCTTGACAGTGCTCACCGATGTGAGCCTCGTTGTCATCTTCGTGATTTATTCTCTGTTGCATGGCCGCTCGGGAACCAGCAGGCCACAGAGGCCCGTGAGCGTCACCGCAGGCGCGTGGCAGTACTTAGCTTCACTGGGGAGGTTCGGCCTCATTGTCGGAGAGGGTGCCTCTGGGCAACGTACCCCTCTTCCCATCCTCTGATCGGATTTCACACGCCAGCGCCCTCTCCCTGTCTCTCGTTTCCCTTGATGCCACCTTTAGCAGTGTTTTCAGTGCCACCTGGGCAGATCAATGAAAGTGTTTATTGACACATGAGGCTCAGAGGAGGGTGCAAAGAGGTGAACGGTGACATCCTCAAGGTGCTTCCGACCCCTTTGGGAAACAGGGCACGGGTGGGGCAGTGCAGCAGGCACCAGGTGAGCAGGCGGGAAGGCTGGGCTTTGGGAGACCGCTCAGGACACCTGAAGGTTGACGGGTGATGAACGTGGAGCTAAACGTGCTTCTCCACTATTTCTCAGTTCCTGATAAACAGAGAGGCGGATGGGCCGACCGTCCCCTCCCCCTGCAAGGCCAGGCTGGAGAAGGAGCAGCGTATGTGAAGCTCAGTGTCGGGGTTTGCTTTGCGGGGCAGGGATGACGGAACAGTTCAGAGAGTTCAGGAGGGAGGGGCTTTGCATTTGGAAGCACATTCAAATGTCTAACGAGGAAAGTTTGCATGAGTTTGAGGCATGGTTTGCTCTATGGTACGCACTGGGGTCCTCGCTCCCTGAAACCTTCAGGGAAGTCTCTGAAGTCGATTTGCATGTGGTTGTCATGATTTGGTAGGTACAGGGTGAAAGCAGAGGTACCGAAGGGCTCCCAACTGGGGGCGAACGGAACCACCCTGACGTCTCCTGGGACATGCAGGTGCCATTAGGCTTCAGAAGATCTTTCTCCACCAAAAAAAAATGGGGCAGCGTCCCCTGCTTTCAACAGAGCCAGCCGCCTTCTGCACACATTCAAGGCCAACCACTTTACAAGTTGTGTCCATGGAGGAGACGCTGCCTCTTCTCCATTGCGCTTACACCCCACAGGCCCGAAGAAAGGGGGCCTCTTCCGCTTGAGAGCCAAGGAGGTAGACCAACGCGTGTCTGCTGGAGCTGTCTCCTGGGAGCTGGCCGCAGTCAGGCTAACTTGACAGCGTGTCAACGGCAGACGCGAGACCACAGAAACGCAACAAGTTTTTCTTCTGTTTCCTTAAGGTTGTGTTTTGCAACTTGGCTGGTATTTGGAATCATCTGGGGAGGTTTAAAAATGGCCCTGCCTCCATCCCAACTCCAGAGGTTTTGAGCTAAGCAGCCTGGAGCATGGGCTGGGCCTCCGGAGGGGAACCACTGGTGTGATGGTGAGGAGCTCCAAGCCCGGCTCCTTCCTGATCCAGTTCCAAAGTGGGTCCCCAGGAAGGCTCCCGGTGCCACAGAGCAGTTTGGAGAGGGCGCAGCAGGATTCAGCTGCAAACATGCAGCCTCTGGTGGGGTAATCTGTCTTCTTGGCAGAGCCGCACGAAGGGGCCAGGTATTGTCCTTCCCAGGCAGTGATCCCCGCCCACGAGAAGGAGAACATGACCAGCTTTGCCTCTGTGCCAGGGCTGGCATGGAAGGGGTGTTCGAACCAAGAACCGCATTCCCCAGCACAACACGAAACTCCTCTGTGACAAACCCCTTTTCTGAAAGGAACTCAGTCCCTGGCCGGCGAGAGGCAGACAGCCTGGAAAGGAATTCTGCCCACACCAAAACAAGGTGAGCGATTTTCTAAGGGCAGGCACCCCTGACCTCGCTTCTCAGCTTTTTCTTAATAAACTGGAGTCAGAAATCGGACCACACAAGCCGCCGCTGGCAAGCTCTCGCAGACAGTGGGTAAAGGCGAAGGTGGGGGGAGACGGCAAGGAGCAGAGAGCCACTCTCATTAGCATCTCCATGGCAACTTGACTGTCCTTCTGCCTACAGACAGGAAGGGTGACCCCAAGTGCAGTGGCCAGAACCCCAGCGCTGTGAGGCTGGACCCCACAGCGCAGGGCAAGTTTCCAGCAAGGTTTCTGACCCACAACTCTTCCTCTGTGCCATGTCACACATGCTGATGCCTAGCAACTTCCTGTGATGGGAAAGTGTTCAGACTTCCTGTTAAACAGGGCCCATTTCCCATCCCCCACATGCATGTCCTGGAGGGCAGAGAGGCAGCTCTGGGCACATGGAGCCAGCCACCCCCAGAGGGGAGACAGACCTCTGTTCTGCAGTGTAATGGGGGCCGCCCCGTCCCGTGCAGGGGGGCCACACTCGGCACTGTGCTCTCTTTGAAGGAATACGTCAAATGTGCAAGATGGTCACCATGCTTGTAGCTGTGGGTGACTTACCGCAGCCCCACAGGGCTCGTCACCTTCTTTACCCCATGGTGTCCTGGCAAAAGAAACTGCAGAGGCTTTGGGCCGGGTGGTGGGAGTGAGCAGGCAGAACCGAGCAAGGCCGGTGGGGGACGGCTCCCTGGGCATGTGCCTATGGGCCACTCCCAGCCGGGAAGCTCCTGTCTGCCCTGCTCCCTCCCAGGACCCTGCCCTGTGTCCCTGCCGAGACCCCCAACAGGCTCTCCTTCCGCGGAGCTTAGAAAGACAGGGCCTATTTGTCTCCAAATCTGCAGCTGACATTACTTCTCTCCGAGACTCAGTCGAAATGAAAAAGGATTATTCTATATTTACTTGCGTCTTTCAGGAGAGAAACTAATTTTGAGAAAGTCGTACAATGTGGAACACTCCCCCTCCTTCCAGCCCTCCAGAGGGCCAAGGAAAGGCTGGCGGGCAGGCGAGCTCAGCGGTGACCCTGTCTGGCCGCCGCTCCTGACCGTGCGTCCGAGGGCGACCTTCCCCCGGCTCGTCCCTGCGCCAGTGAGCGCCCATGGAAGCCGGGCTTGGGAGCTGAGCGTGGGGCAGGCCACCTTCCATAATTAATGGCTCTGAGAGTTTGCTGAGTGTGTTGTTT